CATGTAGGCGACGAATAGTAAATACAAAAGTGAAGTACATGAGCGCAACATAGATCAGGACGATAAAAATCATGCCGCCACCGAAGTTGCCTGTTTCCAAGTTCACGAATGTATTAGGAAAGATGGCGATGAAAATACCAAGAATAATTGACGCTACAATGGCAAGTAGACAGTTCCATGCGAGGTATGAAAAACGTCCGAAACGACCTGCGGCATTCAGCGCAGATTCTTGTGCATATTGAGTCATAGTGACTTACCTTATCGTTGTAAATTAAGTTTTTTATAAATAAAAATGTCTAAAAAGCAGGCAAATCATAATCAAATTTGGTGACAATGAAAAGGCATCTCAGCCATCTTGAGTACACTAGTCTGCTGTAAAGCAAAGATTTTATATATTGAAAGGTACAGGAGTGAGGTCACACGCCTCATTTACTTAAGCTGTTTCTGATTTATTTTGAGTCTAGATGCATCAATTTTGGATAAACAAAAGCCCAACCGAAGTTGAGCTTTTTCAATCAAACAGAGGCTGGAATGAATTAAATTTTCCATTCCACAAAGTTTTTCAGCAGTTGCAAACCTGCGGTATGACTTTTTTCAGGGTGAAACTGGGTCGCAAACAAATTTTCTTGGTGAATCGCGGTGCAGAACTCTAAACCGTAGTCACAGGTCGCCGCCACAATGCCAGAGTTCTTCGGTTCAACATAAAAGCTGTGCACGAAGTAAAAACGTGCATCTTGCTCAATGTCTTTCCACATTGGATGACTCGGATCAGCCTGATGAACTTGGTTCCAACCCATATGGGGTACTTTCAAGCCGTCTACATCAGGAAAGCGTTTCACACTGCCTTCAAAAATACCGAGAGCATCGACTCCGCCATTTTCTTCAGAGCGTTGCATCAGCGCTTGCATACCGACACAAATCGCTAATACAGGCTTATTAAATGCCGCATGACGAACGACTTCATCAATCCCTGCTTCATGCATGCCTTGCATACAGTCACGCATAGCACCTACGCCGGGGAATACAATTTTATCAGCTTGAGCCACTAATTTGGGGTCATTGGTTACATCGACTGTTGCACCAACATGCTCAAGCGCTTTTGCTGCTGAGTGTAGGTTACCCATACCATAGTCAAGAAGGGCAATACGGGTCATTACAAACTACCTTTGGTTGAAGCAATGGTGTTGGTTGCACGTGGGTCAATTTCACAGGCCATACGAAGTGCACGCGCAAATGCTTTGAACACACTTTCAATTTGGTGGTGACTGTTTTTACCTTTGAGGTTATCAATGTGTACTGTCATGAGTGCATGGTTC